CTTTAGCGTGCGCCATACAGAGCGATCGTTCAAAATGCGACGGCCACAAACGTAGAATCATTAAAGAAATTATAAAGATTTATGTGCGAAAAAAGTCTGCGAGCAGAGATTGTTGCTATTGCCACAMTTTTTATTGCTATTATATTTGTTGTTGTACCAACGCACATTCACACACACTATTATTAACACTTACACGCACAGTAGACACCGTTGAAGTCTATTAATTTTTCCAAAATTTTTATTACACTTTTGTGACGGCAGCGCGTTTGTGTCTTGGGTAATGATTTCAGCTGCCACAGACACGCTCACTAAGTCATTTAGGCGCGCATTGTGCGACATTCAGTGCGTCATTCAGTGGGTTAGTTAGACTAGCTAACAGCTACTTACTTATTGTTGTGGCATAAAAAATAAAATAAAATAATGAAAAATGCACGCAGCTGCCAAGCTAAGCGCGAATTGTAGCGCGGCACTCAAATACATACATACATACATACATACATATATCCATAATTATATACATAGAAAGTTGGTCGCATTAGGCGCAATGGAAACCACAGCGGCGCGTCGGCGGCAACGCATCAAGTGTCACAATTTGTTGATTTTTTATGATTTTTATGTTGATTTTATGTGTGCGCGTTGGCAACAGGAAGCCGCTAACAAAAGCAATGTGTACTAATAATACAATAAAATAATAAAATATGTGGCATACAATTTTGGTGCGTTCTTTTGTAAGTTAGCGTTAGTGTGTGTGTGTGATTGTTGGGGTGGTAAAATTTTTGGCGGACGCAATTACAAATTTTTATGCGTTCACAGGTTGATTTTTATAGGCACATGTACACACACACTCGCGCATATTTCATGGTAAATTTGCTATCAGTCCGCATTGTTTCACCTTTGACTATATAAATACAAATAAACTGTGATTTTGCGATTTGGTTTTATGTCTTTTGTTTTCTTGACGCTTTAATAGATTTTTTGTAGCTTAATTAAATGCTCTGGGGGCTTACAGAAATGCGCGTAATTGTTTTTGAAGCTAAATTTTATGTCTTCAGACATAAATGTGCTGGTTTTATAGTCAAAACATGTCCAAATGTATAACTGCGTGTGGAGTAATTGGCTGTATTTATTAGTTCTAATTGGGTTTTTGAGAATATTAGCATTTATTAAAATGTATACTAGTTGGAAACATTTTTAATATTTATATACTATTTATATATATTTATTTAAAGCGTATATAAAAAKGTATGAAAAATTAAAAAAAACTATTTGAAACATTTTTTATAAACTCTAATTACTTAAAAATCTCCCATGAAATGATAAAATTAAAAAATATTTTTTTAGAACAATATTTTTTTTTGAGAGATTTTAATGCTTTTATGCGCTATAAATTTTAATTAAACAAATTAAAGCTTAAAAATGTGTGTAAATGCTTTCAAATTTATTTTTAATTAAAGAATTAAAAAGTTTTATTATAATTTTTTTTAGTTAAGTGCTTAAAATACAACAATTTATCAACTTCTCGGTCTTTTAAAAAAAGTTTTACTCTCTAAAAAATGTTTAATTGATTTAATGTGGTACATTTGTTATTAAAATWTTAATTTCTTTCAAAAATTATTGACCAAAAAATTAGATTGACTAATTTATGCTTTAAAAAGCGTGTAAAATTAAAACGTTTTGTATCAACAATTCTTCTTGAGACTCAACAAAAACTTCGTTTTGGAAAAATTGCTTATGTTTTCTTTTTTTCGAATAATTATATTTAAAAAACTTTAAAAAACGAATTTATGCTATAAAAAGCGTTTAAAAGCAGTAAATTTTGTGTCAATGTTTCCTCTAGAGACACAAGAAAAATTTCTCATTTGGAAAAAAAAAGCTTGATTTTCCTTTATTTCGAATTATAATAATTTAAAAATTTTTTAAAGTGATTTTATTTTCCAAACTATATGTTCAATATACCCTAAWTTATTACTATTATGGTGTCTTCAAGGCTTTTTGCATAAAAAGATTGATTTGTTAAATCAAAGGTTACGCCAATCAACTAGCAATGAACGAGAAGCTCGAAGACAAAATTCAGCGCACTAGTGCTGAAATTCTTGCCGATTTCGAAAATTGGCGTGMACGGGTGCAAATATGCAAAGTTAACCATTGTGGCCATTTGGCCGACATTTTGTTCAAATTATAGATGACCGAATTGAACAGAATTTAGTGTTTTGTTTCATTTTAAAAGTCATTTATAAAAGCAAGTCTATTGTTAAGAGCTTTGGCTTTGTAGAATTAAAAAAAAAAAACTTTTTCAAACCTCCCAAATGTTTTCGTTTGGCCTTTTATAAGGCGGCTTTCTCTCGTTCTTATAAAAAGTTGTTCAGGCTCTAAGCCCTTTAACACCAACGTTAAACTAATTTTACAACACTTTAAAGTAAAATAAAAACTTGCGCCTTGCAGTGCTAACAACTATCCACACCCGCTCACGTATTGCATATTCGTAAAGTCTATACATAAATAAACACCCCACAAAAATGTCCTTAAAACGCATTACGCCCAAGAAAATTGGCCATTAAGACGCGCTATGCCGGCTCGACTGCAGCAAGTTAGGGCGACAAAGTCGTGCCAGGAGAAAAAAAAAAACTTTAAAGAATGAGTAGCACCGCACTCGCTTGCAAATTAAACAAAGGTGCGACCATAATTCGAAAATTGCCGCAAAAAATGTGCGCCGGAAATGCAAATCTCCACCACCGACGGCTTTTCGCCAAGGCGCGCCGTTGTGCTGAGGAAATTGCCGTGATATGACATTAAATTTTTCCACCGCAACTTCAATTTAAATTTCATTTATTTTTTGCTTTGTTGAGTTTTAAGAACACATGAAATTCGAAACTCAATTTTTTTTCGCGCTCACTATCAGCAACGTCGCGCTGTTGTTGTTTATATTACGCTTTGAGTTTTCCATTGTCTTTATGGCAATTGCAGCTAATAAAGTAAATTATTATTAGCGCTTCATTGCCTGGCATGGCTTTATTCGGCTGACGCCTGACTGCCTGCTTGCCGCAAGTAGTGTGTACATTTCTTACGCGATGGCAACAATTTTGCTGATTACATTCTTTTCGTTTTCACTTTTTTATGGAGTTGTTTTTTTTTTTTTTTTTTTTTTTGTTGCTACCGCTGCTCTATGACACCTTAACCGCGGTAGTGACTATAACATTGACAAAAATTGCATATTACGACAGTTAGCTGGGCGTAACGCGGGGAGGGCGGTGTGGTAAGGGTCTCGTGAGGTGCGTGAGGGTAGTATTTACAGGGTGGCGGCATGCAAAATGTTGGCAAATGTTTGAATGGTTCAAATGGTTCATTTTGAAAAGTTAATGGAAATATGAATTTTTATTAATGTCTTCTTGTTAGTCAACTGGGAATTGTTTGGACAGAAAAATGTTAACTTTTTGCGCTTTAGTGCATTTGAAATGCCATCACAAGCGTTTTAATGCATTACAAAGTATACTTAAAATTAGCTTTATTAATAAAGATTTATTTTGTGCTTATGCAAATGTTTCTCAGTTTACTGAGACTTTTCGGGAGCATAGCTTTTTAAGTTTAGTATTAAAACGGAAAAGTAGTGATACCATAAAAATAATTACATTGGTGGTTTAAAATATAAAATAAAATGGGAAAATTGGAATTTTTAACAAAATATTTTTTTTTTTACATATTTAAGTCACAGTTTAATATCTGGTATTTTAAAGTTGAATAATTTTAGCCACTTAGTGCTTCTAAGTAACTTTTGTGCTTTAAAAAATATAAAATAAAATAAATTAAGTAAAAAAAAAAAAAAAAAAAAAAAAAAAAAAAAAAATATTAAAAGAATTTTTAAAAACTCTAATTACTGAAAAATCACACATGAAAAAAGAAATATTTTTCTTAGAAAATTTCAACTGTCTAAAACTACCAAAACTCTCAGACTAAATTTTAACAGAAAACTTGAATATTYTTTTCAAAGAACTATTTTCAAATTGAAATTCCTAAATCCATAAAAAGTTGTTTTCCTTGAATTAATGAAAAAATTAAATTTAATTTCCTTTGAAAATAACAAAAAAATTTTAAATTTCCTTGAAACCTTCAACTGTCGAAAAACAAATAAAAATCACTCACTGATATCAAAACCTTGTCACATATTGATGACAGCCACTGTTACTAAGTGCTCTATAAGCCTCTTCACACAAATATTTTATTTACATATATGTATATTCCATATCTCACCGACCATATTTACGATAAATAGTTATATATTAATAAATATATAAAGAAATATTACAGTTCCAAATCGCTCAAAGCCTTGCCTTAAGCCCCAAATAACACCTTGTAAATCTATGAGCTTTTGAGAAGCATCGAAAATTTCTACAAGCGCAGGTAGGGCAAACCCTGTTGAAAAGAAAATAGTTTTGCCACCAATAAAATATATTTATTTGGAAAAAAGACACATGTCGTAAGGGTATTGAAAGCAYTAAGTGTACGTATGTACTAGTATATACTTCTTTATACTTATATACATACATACATACATAGATAGCTAGCAGCAAATATCAAATAGGCGTAAGGTGATATGTTAAGTCCGCTGGTTTAATGCTAAGTTGACAAGTGTAACAAATATGTTTTATTTCTTAGAAGATTTCCGTCAATTTAATACAAAGAATTTTATTATTGAAGATATGAGGCTTTATTAATATATTTTGTGTATACATATATGCATATGTGCTGGTATATATATAACACAATACATATATAAAAGGCTTAACAATTGTTAAACATGGGTTGCTGCAACTTTTTTTCCGGCTTACTGTACATTTCTTTTTTTCTGATTCTATATGACTTATTTTCATTTTTGCTSTTTTCGAAATTTATTTTCTTTGCAATATAAGTGTTTTATTTCATTAATTAAAAAATGTGCCGTTATTTTTACAATTTGTACTTGACTTTTGCTAATAAGCGGCTTTTCTATTCATAAAAACTTTCAGGTCGATGGTGTCGAAGAGAATGGTCATCACCTGCCGATGCTAGAAATGCAGATCCCTCAAGGCGATTATACTCCTCAGTCTTCCTCGGCAGTCCTGGTGAGTAATAAAAATTAAATATATATATGGATATTACATGATAAAATGTGGTATATTGTGAACATTGAGAGACATGGCTTCTCACACTAAGTCATGACTTTGAGCTTTATGCACTTTTCTTCACTAACGGTGACAAGAATGGAACTTGCCTGGGTATTGGAAWCAATTTTCAATATTGAAGAACTCATTTCTTTAAAATCTTATTTAAGCTCCAAGTTAACTGATTTTTAATTTAGTAGAGCYAGGGAGCTTGTCAGAAGTATCTACTACTTAAAAATATTCAAAATAGTATGGAAATCAACATTCTTAAAGCCTTAGCTTAAACAGCAAATAATTTTAAATGTTTTGAACATACACCTTGAATACAAAATTTTCGATACATCTCGAAAAAACGAGAGAAAAATCATTAAAATAATACCAACGATAATATGCAAGCTACTCATCGGAAAATGCGCTCAAAAGCCAATGCTAGCTTTGAAATTAYACAAAAATTGAAAATTACACAAACTCTTTTTTTGAGTTGATGAGCTGAGGACTTAGCAAAACAGACAAGTAAAGCAAATGTAACAAACAAAAACGAGAAAAAAACGAAAGCAAAATTGACCTGATGTAAAATTTACTAGCGTAACGGTAGAGGACAACTAGAAGAAAGGGTACGCAGCTTAGATTGAAAGCTTTSTTTCTACATACGTAGATAAGCAGGACGTTGAAGGAGAAGTGATTAATTTGCGGTAGAAACCAGATAWCGCAGGGAGTTAGAATTTCTGATGYAAAGCAGCAAAAACATGCAGTAGATGATGCATTCGGAAAATCCGGGTATTGGCTGCAGATTTTCATGCACACAAACCTACTTTGTATTGACGGCAAAGGCACCCTTAATTTGAATGCGTAGAGCACGGAAACAGGCGCTATATTGAATCGTACGTATAGGAGGTATTAAGCAAAAAAACAAAAAAAAAACAACAAAAAAAAAAAAAACGGCAGAAAGCTTCAAAGCAATGAACGAAGAATGCAACGGCAATTGAATGCCGTTGATATAAGAACCACATTCACTGCTGCCACGAACCGTAGCCATATAGCCACTGACAACGCTAACCAATGCTGATGCTGATACCGATGCCGATGCTGAGGATAATGATGAAGTCGGTAGACCAGTCAGACAGTCAGCTAAGCGAGCCTCGGGCTATGGCAAGCCATTCAAAGGCACACTAATCCAGCTATAGTGTACCGGCTGCTGCCGCATGCCACATACCACATACATATTACATGTATGTCTACTACAGAATGTTAACGCATCATCTTGCAGGCTTTGCAGAACCCAAAGAACAAAAGCACAAAACAAGTTGGATGGAGTTAGTAGTAGGAGAAGGAAGTGCGCTGACGCTAACGTCGGTAGTGAGGCTGCTGCTGCTGCTATTGAGACTATGCGGTGCATTTGCTGTTATTACTGGGGATGCTGGTGGTTACGGGTTTAACCGTGGCAGCAGCTGAAGCAGCGGAAAATGAGCTTCTCAAACTCATTTGTGGTATGCATGTCGTAGACGTTGTAGAACAGTTGATAGAACATGCCTGGCGTCCCAGCTGCCGCATTGCCAACTCACCGGCTTCAATAGTCTCGCATGCCACTGCATTGTTGTTGGCTGACTGGCTGGTTGGTTGGCGCGAAATGGCTGCCACACAACTTACGCGCATGTRKAGTAAGCGTATGTATGCAAGTAGTTGGTATGTGGTGGCAGCGCCAGTTGCCACATGTGGTCGACATGTAACTGAGTTAGTACGAAAGTAAGTAGTAGATACATCAACTTGCCGGCGAATAGCGCAGGCATAGACATGGTTTTGAACGATGCTCGATGGATGGCTAGTTGCCTAGCAAGGCGCTCGAAGATAGTGGCGAACGGACTTGGAAGAAATGTGGTGGGGCAGTGTAGGTGGTGTAGCTCCCGCAACAACAAGCAACGGTGTGTCGTCTATGASAGTTTGTAGTTATCTAGCAGCAAGTATGTATATATGTATGTGTGTGGCAAGTGCGTGCACAATTGTGGGTAATGAAGGTTGGCGCATGAGCGCTTAAGCGGAATGCTAGGRATTGATGGCGGTTAAGGCGGCTATCGCCGAGAGCCAACAGCAGCAGGTTAGCAGGCGGAAATTGCATTGTTGAATGATATTTACGCGTCGCATAACGCAAAAGTTGAGGCCGGAAAAAGTGGCAGCGGCAGCGGTGGGGCAGCAACGACTCACGCAAGTACCCAAGCACTTAGGCGCCCAAACAATATGTGCAAAAAGTGTTTGTTATGAAGAAGAGTGAAAGGACTAGAGCTGTGTAAGGCAAGGTAGAAACATTCTCACACATTTATTTGTTTTTGTATGTACGTGTCTTGCAACGCAACTCCGCGGTCTATATTATTTTSCATTGTGCGCCATCATACTTTGCATTCTTCGAGTTGTAGAGCAAAGTAGTCCTCGGTAATGCCCGTGTTTATTTATTTATCGATAGTTCSTCTGACCCTTCCGTAAAGTTTTGAGTTGCAGCTTTAGAATTAAAATTATTTCCTACAAATAGGCGTTTGTAAATCCTTTTTTTCGCTTTAAAAGTAGCACTTTGGCCGCCGATCAGCGCTGAGACTAATTTTACTGGACAACTTGATCAGGTTTGTTAGTTAGAACTAGCRGCTCGGAGTTGATTATTTTTGAGTGAGTGCCTTCAATTCTGGTCTTTACTGCCTTAATGTAACCGTAAAAGGACTTTACTTAGATTTTTTGCTATTTTATTCGTTGATGTTGTCTTGTTTGTATGTTTATGTATATTTTTATTTAGTTGTCACATCAACTAGCTTAGGTATTCGGTCTTTTTGGCGCTCAGTTTTAGGTGCACAGTTTTTGAGATGYCTKCATGAAAATTTGCACACGTCCTTTTCTTCCCAAGAAGTTTCTTGGTTGACGAAACTGTCGATATCCGTCGACTATAGCATATAGCTGCCATACAAACCGATCGATCAAACTCAAGTCCTTGTATGAAGTACTTTTCCATTTGACGAGATATCTTCATGAAATTTGGCGTGGGTTATTGTCTAAGGCAATGATTTAATTTTCTTTCTTAAATTATGAAGATTGGACTAATATAGCATATAGCTGCCATATAAGCTGTCCGATCAAATTTATTAATTTTTATTTCTGAAGGGTATTCTATCTGCTTTGCAAGTTTTCATTTTTTCTCTGTTTATACAAAAATCAATATTCCCGAAATAGTTTSATTGCTGAAAACCCCCAAAACAACAATAATCCCCCTTATTTGTAGATCAAAGGTACCCATCACAAATATATCTCAACGTCAATAWCAAGTAATTTGCTTAGATCATCTTACCTAATGCATTACACTTACTGTTGTTGCATTTTATGCGCATTGCCGCTCTTAGCCAATTCGTTAAACTCAATTTGCAAATCATTTTTCCATAGAAAGCCAATTCAAGCGCAACCACAAACAGTCTGCCGCGTCTTCACACAACGATCATGCGCAACATTCGTTTGAGCCGCGCTTTAAAAGACCATGCTGCAACATAMAAAGTAATGAGAGCTCAGGCGAAGGTCTGTGCTCAATAYGAAGCGTAAAAGGCTAAAAAGTTAAAGCAAGATATAGCAAAAACAAAAATTAGAAATAGAACCAATCAAGAAATGCGAAACGCTTAAGAATTCCAGACTTTTGTGCGCSATATGGAAATTTGCGGCACTTMACCGTCATTTGCGTATGCTTAGTTGTTKYGTTTATTTATTTATTTTTTAGTGCTCTCTTGTTTGGTTTTTTGTTAGCTGAACCCAAGTTTGTTAGTAAAGCTTTGCTTTGAGTGCCAAATTCAGCTAAAGGAAACAAAAGTTGGTTGTTGATGACCTTGGTGCGGCAGTAACAGCCAAAATAAGTAAGCAAAGGCTGCCATAACAACAATAGTAATGATTTTCTTTGAAATACATGCTTAATTTCTTTTCRGCTCATTGGCTTCATTTTTGGTTGTTGCATGTACTTCCATATAGTGTTTATGTCAAAGGCATTGCTACAGGGCTTGAGCGCATGTCTCCTAGTAAATTGGTCTCAATATACAATAGCATAACAGTGCTTTGTGGCGCGCTAAAGGCACTAACTCAATTGCTTTGACTCGTGAGCCAGCGGTCAATTATTTCGATTGCAGCACAGTATCAACACGCTGTCATCATTTCTAGAGCGCTCAGCTCAACAGCCATCCTTRTACCGAAGATCTATCGTTTTATATCGCCGACAGCCTGTCTATCGTCTTTGCCATCCGTCTGCGGAACTTGTTTAATCTACATTTGCTGTCTTCAAACGATCACTTTACCGCTACATTTCTCAAATGCGYTGTCTTCACGAACACGTGTTGTTGTGTTTTTATTCTTTTGTGGATCTCCTTGCGGCGTCACTGCCATTCGATCTCGATYGATTTTCGAACGTGGTGTAATAACRYTAAATTGTTGCTGATTATCCTTTTGGCGGTTCCGTACAATCCATCGATACAACGATCTCGCTGTCTGTCCCACAACTACCAACACCACCGCTTACATTGCTTTAGCCAAAGCCGCCATTAGGTTGCAGAATACGAAGAAWAGAATGTAATGCCTTTTACCGTTCTTACGCGATTTTTCGCGCAAAATCTTTATATTACACTCCCCACGCCCGCGTTCGATCTGCTTTTCGTTCGTTAGCTTTATACATTGTCAGCCAAGCAGTCAAGCAGCTCGTTTGCATATTGAAAGTAACCCAGCCGCAGCGAATATGCGGCGCGGTCGACCTGGGCGCAGGCGCTTTTGCACTCGTAGTGGTGGCATGCCACAAGCAAGCGATCTCCATTGTGCGCGTTTGCCTTGCCACTATAAGCACATATACAATTTTTTAAATTTTGTTGCTGCTTGCCACTTTTGCCAAGTCATTTGCTGCTTCATCGCTGTGCCGCGTATAAGAAAAATGGCGTTACGGCTGCTGGCGCGCAAAGAAAGAT